ATCCAGCACTGGAGTCCTCTCTCCTGTCCTCAGCTCCATCTCTCTGGGTGAAATCTCTTCTGCTAGAATGAGGACTCTGTCTGCTCTGCTGATGGTGCTGCTGCTCTGCTCTCTCCAGCAGGTCTACTGCAGTGGTGAGTATCAGAAACTCTCTTCACTCTAATAGTCACTACTGACAACTAGACCTGTGCACACGTGTTTACATATCTTTTAAACACACTTTAAAGAGCCTATAGCCTATATTTTTGCTCTGGTTCTGATATTTGTGTGGTTTTATCATCAGTCATAGTTCATTTTTACATTAATATTTTCCATCCTCTCTTTATCCTTTAGGAATAAACATGCTGCTTATTTGCTGTAGACTGATACATGTCAATGAGCTTCATTTTGATTGTTTGCCATGTATTGTACCTCATTCATAACTTCAATGTGAATGAATGGGGCCAAACTGCTGTAGGCTAAGTGTGTGGATGTCTGTAAATATGATATTTTTCATGACATCACAAAAAAATTTGATACAAAACAAGCTGTCTCTGCAGCTTTATTATGTTTTGAAACTTTAACAGTGTTAACACAACTTTTTTACATGAAAACAGGGAAATTTCAGTTTTCTGTGATATCGGCCCTTTGAGCCTAATAAACTGCTGGAGTCCTTTCTGTTGTGATGAGCTGTGAGACTGAAACTCTGTGCTCCTCTCAGGTACTCAAGGCGCCAACACCCCAGTAGAGTGCTGTTATGGGTTCACGTACAGAAAGATCCCCTTGTGGCGCATCACATCCTACAGATGGACCAGCAGCAACTGTTCCAAAAAAGCTGTTATGTGAGTATCACTTACTTGGAAAGATGACCAAATGTCTCCCTACCTCTGAATTTGCTTGACATTTTGGGAATTAACTATGGAAACTGACCAACTCCAAATCAGTAATAAACAATAACAGTGTTCTGTTTTTGTCTTCATCACAGCTTCAGCACGGTTATTGGAAAGGATTGGTGTGTGGATCCTGAAGTCACCTGGGTTAAAGAACGCATGATGAAGCTAAAACCCCAAAGCTGACCAAACTGACCACATGAAGACTATTTAATACAGTAGAACGTCTGTATACATGCACTCTGTACATATCACTGTGTGAAAACATGTAATTTATTTGAAACATTGTATCGTGTGTATTTTTCTTATTTCAATAAACATTCTTTTCCCTCCAAAAGTCCCACTTGTCATACTTGATGTTTTAGAAACTCGTTATGTGCAGAAAATGTCCAAAACATGTTTCAAAGGAAAAAAACAAAATTTTAAACAGATTGAAACAGATCTACCTTAAATCTAAATTCTGGACCTTTTTTGTGTCACTCTGGAGTTCTGAATAATCCACCAACCAAAACATCCAGCCAAGAGTGTCTATACAGTCAAATATGCCACTGATGAGGGGTAGAGTGTCTACATTCAACTAAAACTTGCGAAGGTCCAGTTACATCAGTTTTCTTACTTAAAAAGGTCTACATAAAAATAAACATAAATATGAGTAAAAATGTAGTTATTTAAACTTTTAGTTATGCTTTTGTAATGTATATTCCCCCATTCATTACTATGGAAAACATCATTTGAGTGAACACTGCATGAACACGAGGAGTGGTGTTGATTAGTTTCACAGAGGCGCTTAATGTTTCCACTTTTGATGAGCGCCACAGACTCTGAACAGACAAGACTCATCATTTTTAACTTAAATGGGGAGAAAAAAACACAGAGCTCTCTGTTCATTCATTTTTTAAAAAAAAACTGCTTTTGTTATTGACTTTCCTTTTCTTGACAAGCTAAGTTCACAACTCGGACCTGAAAATTATAATTAATATAAAAAGTCTCTCGTATTCAGCCCTGTAGTCTCTGTTTAGTTGAGTAAATCCAAGCATCACACTGGATAATCCTCAACACCGGACTGACAGAAGCTGCTCATTCACGTACATGAAATGTGCTGAAATACGACTTTATTTTTTACAGATGTTTAATTGGCTTTGCTACAGGATTCTTTCCAAGCGCTCAGTTCAGGCCACTGGAACGCTTTGCTTGGTCTGCGTCCAGATTGCAGTCTGCCGGTTTACGACGGCTGAGCCAGAGGATGACTAACACAAACTGTGACTGTGCACTTCACAGAGACGGTGTCTGATATATGTAAATATACACGGCGGGTTTTCCATGAAAATTTTCCCACGTTTTTATTATTTTCCCTTCCTTCCTTCCTTCCTTCCCTCCCTCTCTCTGTCTCAGATCTTTGTTCACTGTGTCCTGAAATCCTGCTCTGAAGTGTTTCACTACATTTGAAGATCTAATAAATGTGCAACATTGTTTCATTTGTATTTCTATGTCTTCAATAAACGTTCATTCCTTCCCTCCAGTGTCCAATTGATGTTTTACTGACTTGGTATAGACAGAAAATGTCCAAACAACGTTTCGAAGGAAAAGAAAGGCCATTTAAAAAGATGATACCTTAAATCCAAATTCTGATTGGACTGGAATAAATACTGATGGTGCTGCTGCTCTGCTCTCTCCAGCAGGTCTGCAGTGGGAGTATCAGACACTCTGTTCAGTCCTGTCTGACTCTAATAGTCACCACTGAGAACTACACAGTGTACATATGTGTTAATGTATCTTTTACACTGCTTTAAAGGGCCAATAGGCTACATTTTTGCTCTGCTTCTGCTATTTGTGTGGCTTTATGTGACAAAAACAGTCATAGTTCATTTTACATGATTATTTTTCAACCTCTCCTTATCCCTTAGAATTAAACAGGCTGTTTTAAAACTGTAGACTGACATATGTAAATGAGCTCCATTATGATTGGCTGCCCTGTATTCTGCCTCATTCATAACTTCAGTGTGAGTGAATGGGGCTGAACTGCTATAGGCTATATAAGTATGTGGATGTCTGTAAATATGATATTTTTCATGACATCATAGAATCAATAAACACCAAAAAAGCTGTTTCTGCATAATATATTAAAACATAAAATATTTTATGTAAATTTACATTAAAAATGAAATTTCAGTTTGATATGATATGGGCTCTTTAAGACTAACACACTGCTGGAGTCTCTTTCTGTTGTGATGTGCTGTGAGACTGAAACTCTGTACTCCTCTCAGGTACTCAAAGCGTCAACTTCCCAGTAGCACACAGTTATGGGTTTATGACAGGAAAGATCCCCTTGAGGCGCATCACATCCTACAGATGGACCAGAACAGACTGTTCCAAAAAAGCTGTTGTGTGAGTATCACTTGTTTGGAAAGATGACCAAATGTCTCCCTACCTCTGAATTTGCTTGACATCTTGGGAATTAACTATGGAAACTGACCAACTCAATTCACTCTGACCAACTGGCCCAGACACTGTAAAGTGAGTAGAACTAAAGGACATGGCCCAAATCTGGTCCCAGTCTGGCCCAACTACATTGTTGGTCCACAATATTCACGCCAGGACTGTCCCACAAATGTAAGCATGAGGCAAAACAGTATGAAGCTGTCCAGGGTCTGGCCCTATTCTGGCCCGCATGCCTGACATCTACCCGGTAGTCAACCAACACTCACATAGCAAAGCCAGAATTGGCCCAAAACTGTCTGCTATCTGGGTAGACTGAGTCATAAGGACAGGTTTGGCCTTTCGTTACAGGATGTATAGATAATGGAGAGTGAAGAAATAGACACACAAATAGATTGACTGAGTGTCGGTGTGTGTGTGTGTGTGTGTTGGTGTGTATGGTGTGTGTGTGTGTGTGTGTGTGTGTGTGTTGGTGTGTATGGTGTGTGTGTGTGTGTGTATGGTGTGTGTGTGGGTGTGTGTGTGTGTGTGTGTGTGTTGGTGTGTATGGTGTGTGTGGTGTGTGTGTGTGTGTGTTGGTGTGTATGGTGTGTGTGTGTGTGTGTGTGTGTGTGTATGGTGTGTGTGTGGGTGTGTGTGTGTGGGGGTGTGTGTATGGTGTGTGTGTGTGTGTGGGTGTGTGTGTGTGTGTGTGTGTGTGTGTCTGTGTTGGTGTGTATGGGTGTGTGTGGGTGTGTGTGTGTGTGGGTGTGTGTGTGGGTGTGTGTGGGTGTGTGTGTGTGTGTGTGTGTGTCTGTGTTGGTGTGTATGGTGTGTGTGTGGGTGTGTGTGTGGGTGTGTGTGTGTGTGTGTGTGTCTGTGTTGGTGTGTATGGTGTGTATGGTGTGTGTGTGTGTGTATGGTGTGTGTGTGTGTGGGTGTGTGTGTGGGTGTGTGTGTGTGTGTGTGTGTGTGTGTGTGTGTGTGTCTGTGTTGGTGTGTATGGTGTGTGTGTGGGTGTGTGTGTGTGTGGGTGTGTGTGTGGGTGTGTGTGTGGGTGTGTAAAAATGTTTCTTCTTTTTTTAACACAAGATAAAAGTAAAGTTTTTAAAAGTCCCTGAACTTAGAGTTTATTTAGGTGGTTTTGATGTGTCATCATAATATTTAGCTACATTAGACAGTGGAAATACAAGCATGTCATCCTTGTCATAGTGAATCTGCACTCACCTACACTTCACTCATTCACATTCCCTTTGTTTATGGTTTGTGACTGTTGTATAGTTTCATTCTGCTCTTATTCTTCTTCATTCGTTAAACAAATTAAACATACATATATACATCATCTAAACCGCTTATCCTTCTGGGTCGCGGTGGGGTGCTGGAGCCTATCCCAGCTGTCATTGGGCAGGATACACCCTGGACAGGTCGCCAGTCCATCACAGGGCAACAAATTAAACAAATGATCCAAAATATTGTTTATAGTAAACTCATAAAATGGACACGGTAAATAAACAATGTTTATAAATCATAAATTTCTGCTGTTATCCGATTATTCAAATGTCATGTTAACACCATACTCCAATCTAGACATCTGATTAAGAAATCCGATAAAGAGAGCTGGATTTTAGCTCAGTAATCAGATTTCTCAGTGCCTGTAAACTCTTACTCTGATTTCTTTCAATTTCTCAGTCGGCGCATGAGCAAAACAGACGGCTATACCGGAAAATAAGAGAGCAGCGTCGCCATGAAATGCTGCAAAACACTTTTGGGGTGACGCTGAAACCAAATACATTCTTGACGAAATGAAGGAGTTAAATATTCTTCATCTTCTAGATGATGTACGTTTATATTTTCAGGTAAAGTGGCGTGAAAAAAACACGGCACGAAGGTCGATTTTTACCTTACGTTTACGTCTCGTCTTCTTCTGTGAGTTTGTTGGCTGGCTGCAAAGCAGAAATCTGATTACTATCTGACTTATGTAGACCTGGAGTTTCCACATTATCTGATTACTCCAGTGCATGTAAACGCATTGAAACTCGAACTGTTATCAGTTATCAGATTATTAAGTGCGTGGAAACACAACCAGTGTTAAATCACAGTGTTCATACTGATGTCTCTGATTTTGAAATGTCTCTTTAGTCTCACTTTGTTTGGATTCATAGATGGATGGATGGATGGACAGATAGATCGTTATCCAGCGGTTTGTGAATGTTTGGGCACTTGTGGTCAAATGAGATGTTTTGTTAAATTTCTAATTCATTATAATAATATTATCTGCGAAATTTCACAGCAGTCAGTAAAATGTTTCTCCAGTTTCACTCTGAATACTGTTTTATAATAAGAGTACACACCATCACCACCACGTCAGTGTTACTGCAGTGCTGAGAATGATGCACCACCCAAATAGTACCTGCTCTGTGAGGGTCCATGGGGGTCCTGACCACTGAAGAACAGGGTAAAAGGGGACTAACAAAATATGCAGAGAAACAGATGGACTACAGTCTGTAACTGTAGAACTACAAAGTGCACCTGTATAGTAAGTGGAGCTGATGTGTGTGTGTGTGTGTGTGTGTGTGTGTGTGTGTGTGTGTATAATAATAATATAATAATAATATTTTTTATTTATATATGGATCCATATATGGAAATATGGATCATTCTACCAAATGAATTCAACAGTGTTGTCAAAGTTCAATACACGTTAAAGGGCTATAAACCTTAATTTGTTTATTTTTCTGAAATTAAACATTCAACCTTTCTAACTACCAAAACAACCATAACACTCCCGAAACACAAGCCAGGCTACGGCTAGCAAACACGGCTTTGAACATTTGTACACCCATAAAATCATGCACAAATTGCAAAAATTGTGTGTTTCGGTATTGAAAATTCTTAATGTTCCATACTGATTGTCAGACTTTGAGCACATTTATGTCAAAACAATGAGATTTTATAGAGAGAAAACTTGTTGAAGATACAAAGTTGGACCCTAAAAACACTGTTGGACCTTTGAGGGCACATTTACACTGTTTGTACATTGATGAACAAAAATGTACCTGCACAGTGACTTTATCTGACAGTGTATGTATCTCTGTATCAGTACATACACAGTCTGTCTCTATCTATCTATCTATCTGTCTGTGTATCTGTCTATCTATCTAGCTATCTAGCTGCCTGTCTGTCTGTCTCTCTGTCTAGTTATGGGAAACCTCATGTTAACCCACTTGGTCTAGAAATAAAATCTAGTTTCAGTTTCATTTGGCAGACTATCTGCGAAGTCTGAAAATAGTTAAACTCTCCCGCACAGAGGTGATGCAACCGGAGAAAGAGCAGGAAAGACGTGACAGCAGAGCTACTGAAAAACGTGCCAGACTTGAGAGCTGTAGGGGATTTCAGCCATGCGGGGGTCCTGCTTCCACACTGTATAAATGAGGAGGTGCTGGTCACTCATCCAGCACTGGAGTCCTCTCTCCTGTCCTCAGCTCCATCTCTCTGGGTGAAATCTCTTCTGCTAGAATGAGGACTCTGTCTGCTCTGCTGATGGTGCTGCTGCTCTGCTCTCTCCAGCAGGTCTACTGCAGTGGTGAGTATCAGAAACTCTCTTCACTCCAATAGTCACCACTGACAACTAGACCTGTGCACACGTGTTTACATATCTTTTAAATGCACTTTAAAGAACCTATAGCCTATATTTTTGCTCTGGTTCTGATATTTGTGTGGTTTTATCATCAGTCATAGTTCATTTTTACATTAATATTTTCCATCCTCTCTTTATCCTTTAGGAATAAACATGCTGCTTATTTGCTGTAGACTGATACATGTCAATGAGCTTCATTTTGATTGTTTGCCATGTATTGTACCTCATTCATAGCTTCAATGTCAATGATCAGGGCTAAACTGCTGTAGGCTAAGTGTGTGGATGTCTGTAAATATGATATTTTTCATGACATCACAAAAAAATTGAATACAAAACAAGCTGTCTCTGCAGCTTTATTATGTTTTGAAACTTTAACAGTGTTAACACAACTTTTTTACATGAAAACAGGGAAATTTCAGTTTTCTGTGATATCGGCCCTTTGAGCCTAATAAACTGCTGGAGTCCTTTCTGTTGTGATGAGCTGTGAGACTGAAACTCTGTGCTCCTCTCAGGTACTCAAGGCGTCAACATCCCAGTAGAGTGCTGTTATGGGTTCACGTACAGAAAGATCCCCTTGTGGCGCATCACATCCTACAGATGGACCAGCAGCAACTGTTCCAAAAAAGCTGTTATGTGAGTATCACTTACTTGGAAAGATGACCAAATGTCTCCCTACCTCTGAATTTGCTTGACATTTTGGGAATTAACTATGGAAACTGACCAACTCCAAATCAGTAATGAACAATAACAGTGTTCTGTTTTTGTCTTCATCACAGCTTCCGCACGGTTATTGGAAAGGATTGGTGTGTGGATCCTGAAGTCACCTGGGTTAAAGAATACATGAAGCTAAAACTGCAAAGCTGACCAAATTGACCACAGGAAGACTATTTAATACAGTAGAACGTCTGTATACATGCACTCTGTACATATGTACATATCACTGTGTGAAAACATGTAATTTATTTGAAACATTGTATCGTGTGTATTTCTCTTATTTCAATAAACATTCTTTTCCCTCCAAAAGTCCTACTTGTCATACTTGATGTTTTACAAACTGTCCAGAAAATGTCCAAAACATGTTTCAAAGGAAAAAAACAAAATTTTAAACAGATTGAAACAGATCTACCTTAAATCTAAATTCTGGACCTTTTTTGTGTCACTCTGGAGTTCTGAATAATCCACCAACCAAAACATCCAGCCAAGAGTGTCTATACAGTCAAATATGCCACTGATGAGGGGTAGAGTGTCTACATTCAACTAAAACTTGCGAAGGTCCAGTTACATCAGTTTTCTTACTTAAAAAGTTCTACATAAAAATAAACATAAATATGAGTAAAAATGTAGTTATTTAAACTTTTAGTTATGCTTTTGTAATGTATATTCCCCCATTCATTACTATGGAAAACATCATTTGAGTGAACACTGCATGAACACGAGGAGTGGTGTTGATTTGTTTCACAGAGGCGCTTAATGTTTCCACTTTTGACGAGCGCCACAGACTCTGAACAGATAAGACTCATCATTAACTTAAATGGGGAGAAAAAAACACAGTTCAGAGCTCTCTTTGATTCATTTTTTAAAAAAAAAAACTGCTTTTGTTATTGACTTTCCTTTTCTTGACAAGCTAAGTTCACAACTCGGACCTGAAAATTATAATTAATATAAAAAGTCTCTCGTATTCAGCCCTGTAGTCTCTGTTTAGTTGAGTAAATCCAAGCATCACACTGGATAATCCTCAACACCGGACTGACAGAAGCTGCTCATTCACATACATGAAATGTGCTGAAATACGACTTTATTTTTTACAGATGTTTAACTGGCTTTGCTACAGGATTCTTTCCAAGCGCTCAGTTCAGGCCACTGGAACGCTTTGCTTGGTCTGCGTCCAGATTGCAGTCTGCCGGTTTACGACGGCTGAGCCAGAGGATGACTAACACAAACTGTGACTGTGCACTTCACAGAGATGGTGTTTGATATATGTAAATATACACGGCGGGTTTTCCATGAAAATTTTCCCACGTTTTTATTATTTTCCCTTCCTTCCTTCCTTCCTTCCCTCCCTCTCTCTGTCTCAGATCTTTGTTCATTGTGTCCTGAAATCCTGCTCTGAAGTGTTTCACTACATTTGAAGATCTAATAAATGTGCAACATTGTTTCATTTGTATTTCTATGTCTTCAATAAACGTTCATTCCTTCCCTCCAGTGTCCAATTGATGTTTTACTGAGTTGGTATAGACAGAAAATGTCCAAACAACATTTCGAAGGAAAAGAAAGGCCATTTAAAAAGATGATACCTTAAATCCAAATTCTGATTGGACTGGAATAAATACTGATGGTGCTGCTGCTCTGCTCTCTCCAGCAGGTCTGCAGTGGGAGTATCAGACACTCTGTTCAGTCCTGTCTGACTCTAATAGTCACCACTGAGAACTACACAGTGTACATATGTGTTAATGTATCTTTTACACTGCTTTAAAGGGCCAATAGGCTACATTTTTGCTCTGCTTCTGCTATTTGTGTGGCTTTATGTGACAAAAACAGTCATAGTTCATTTTACATGATTATTTTTCAACCTCTCCTTATCCCTTAGAATTAAACAGGCTGTTTTAAAACTGTAGACTGACATATGTAAATGAGCTCCATTATGATTGGCTGCCCTGTATTCTGCCTCATTCATAACTTCAGTGTGAGTGAATGGGGCTGAACTGCTGTAGGCTATATAAGTATGTGGATGTCTGTAAATATGATATTTTTCATGACATCATAGAATCAATAAACACAAAAAAGCTGTTACTGCATAATATATTAAAACATAAAATATTTTATGTAAATTTACATTAAAAATGAAATTTCAGTTTGATATGATATGGGCTCTTTAAGACTAACACACTGCTGGAGTCTCTTTCTGTTGTGATGTGCTGTGAGACTGAAACTCTGTACTCCTCTCAGGTACTCAAAGCGTCAACTTCCCAGTAGCACACAGTTATGGGTTTATGACAGGAAAGATCCCCTTGAGGCGCATCACATCCTACAGATGGACCAGAACAGACTGTTCCAAAAAAGCTGTTATGTGAGTATCACTTGTTTGGAAAGATGACCAAATGTCTCCCTACCTCTGAATTTGCTTGACATCTTGGGAATTAACTATGGAAACTGACCAACTCAATTCACTCTGACCAACTGGCCCAGACACTGTAAAGTGAGTAGAACTAAAGGACATGGGCCAAATCTGGTCCCAGTCTGGCCCAACTACATTGTTGGTCCACAATATTCACGCCAGGATTGTCTCACAAATGTAGGCATGAGGCAAAACAGTATGAAGCTGTCCAGGGTCTGGCCCTATTCTGGCCCGCATGCCTGACATCTACCCGGTAGTCAACCAACACTCACATAGCAAAGCCAGAATTGGCCCAAAACTGTCTGCTATCTGGGTAGACTGAGTCATAAGGACAGGTTTGGCCTTTCGTTACAGGATGTATAGATAATGGAGAGTGAAGAAATAGACACACAAATAGATTGACTGAGTGTCGGTGTGTGTGTGTGTGTGTGTGTGTGTGTGTGTGTGTGTGTGTGTGTGTGTGTGTGTGTGTGTGTTGGTGTGTGTGTGTGTGTGTGTGTGTGTGTGTGTGTTGGTGTGTATGGTGTGTGTGTGTGTGTGTGTATGGTGTGTGTGTGGGTGTGTGTGTGTGTGTGTGTGTGTGTTGGTGTGTATGGTGTGTGTGTGTGTGTGTGTGTGTGTGTTGGTGTGTATGGTGTGTGTGTGTGTGTGTGAGGGGGGGGTGTATGGTGTGTGTGTGGGTGTGTGTGTGTGTGTGTGTGTGTGTATGGTGTGTGTGTGTGTGTGTGTGTGTGTGTGTGTGTGTGTGTGTGTGGGGGTGTGTGTGTGGGTGTGTGTGTGTGTGTGTATGGTGTGTGTGTGTGTGTGTGTGTGTGTGTGTGTGTGTGTGTGTGGGTGTGTAAAAATGTTTCTTCTTTTTTTAACACAAGATAAAAGTAAAGTTTTTAAAAGTCCCTGAACTTAGAGTTTATTTAGGTGGTTTTGATGTGTCATCATAATATTTAGCTACATTAGACAGTGGAAATACAAGCATGTCATCCTTGTCATAGTGAATCTGCACTCACCTACACTTCACTCATTCACATTCCCTTTGTTTATGGTTTGTGACTGTTGTATAGTTTCATTCTGCTCTTATTCTTCTTCATTCGTTAAACAAATTAAACATACATATATACATCATCTAAACCGCTTATCCTTCTGGGTCGCGGTGGGGTGCTGGAGCCTATCCCAGCTGTCATTGGGCAGGATACACCCTGGACAGGTCGCCAGTCCATCACAGGGCAACAAATTAAACAAATGATCCAAAATATTGTTTATAGTAAACTCATAAAATGGACACGGTAAATAAACAATGTTTATAAATCATAAATTTCTGCTGTTATCCGATTATTCAAATGTCATGTTAACACCATACTCCAATCTAGACATCTGATTAAGAAATCCGATAAAGAGAGCTGGATTTTAGCTCAGTAATCAGATTTCTCAGTGCCTGTAAACTCTTACTCTGATTCTTTCAATTTCTCAGTCGGCGCATGAGCAAAACAGACGGCTATACCGGAAAATAAGAGAGCAGCGTCGCCATGAAATGCTGCAAAACACTTTTGGAGTGACGCTGAAACCAAATACATTCTTGACGAAATGAAGGAGTTAAATATTCTTCATCTTCTAGATGATGTATGTTTATATTTTCAGGTAAAGTGGCGTGAAAAAAACACGGCATGAAGGTCGATTTTTACCTTACGTTTACGTCTCGTCTTCTTCTGTGAGTTTGTTGGCTGGCTGCAAAGCAGAAATCTGATTACTATCTGACTTATGTAGACCTGGAGTTTCCACATTATCTGATTACTCCAGTGCATGTAAACGCATTGAAACTCGAACTGTTATCAGTTATCAGATTATTAAGTGCGTGGAAACACAACCAGTGTTAAATCACAGTGTTCATACTGATGTCTCTGATTTTGAAATGTCTCTTTAGTCTCACTTTGTTTGGATTCATAGATGGATGGATGGATGGACAGATAGATCGTTATCCAGCGGTTTGTGAATGTTTGGGCACTTGTGGTCAAATGAGATGTTTTGTTAAATTTCTAATTCATTATAATAATATTATCTGCGAAATTTCACAGCAGTCAGTAAAATGTTTCTCCAGTTTCACTCTGAATACTGTTTTATAATAAGAGTACACACCATCACCACCACGTCAGTGTTACTGCAGTGCTGAGAATGATGCACCACCCAAATAGTACCTGCTCTGTGAGGGTCCATGGGGGTCCTGACCACTGAAGAACAGGGTAAAAGGGGACTAACAAAATATGCAGAGAAACAGATGGACTACAGTCTGTAACTGTAGAACTACAAAGTGCACCTGTATAGTAAGTGGAGCTGATGTGTGTGTGGTGTGTGTGTGTGTGTGGTGTGTGGTGTGTGTTGTGTGTGTGTATAATAATAATATAATAATAATATTTTTTATTTATATATGGATCCATATATGGAAATATGGATCATTCTACCAAATGAATTCAACAGTGTTGTCAAAGTTCAATACACGTTAAAGGGCTATAAACCTTAATTTGTTTATTTTTCTGAAATTAAACATTCAACATTTCTAACTACCAAAACAACCATAACACTCCCGAAACACAAGCCAGGCTACGGCTAGCAAACACGGCTTTGAACATGTGTACACCCATAAAATCATGCACAAATTGCAAAAATTGTGTGTTTCGGTATTGAAAATTCTTAATGTTCCACACTGATTGTCAGACTTTGAGCACATTTATGTCAAAACAATGAGATTTTATAGAGAGAAAACTTGTTGAAGATACAAAGTTGGACCCTAAAAACACTGCTGGACCTTTGAGGGCACATTTACACTGTTTGTACATTGATGAACAAAAATGTACCTGCACAGTGACTTTATCTGACAGTGTATGTATCTCTGTATCAGTACATACACAGTCTGTCTCTATCTATCTATCTATCTGTC